CTCCTCGCCGTCCCGGCACACCGCCACCAGCCGCGCCATCGCTGCTGCTGCTGCCGCTTCCTCCCCGTTCCAGCCTGCGGGCGGCCCCGGCCGGAGGTAAACACCCGCCGCGCTTCCCCGCCACACTTTCACCAGCAGCCGGCACCCAGCCTGCGCTCCCCATCGCCTGATTCACCACGCCGAGCCCGGCCCACCCACCCGGCCGGGAGGGACCCGCGCGGGCCGGGAATGCGGCAGCACACGGGCGGCGAACCGGGCACGGCGCGGGGGGATGGAGACCCCCGGGGGAAAGGGGGAGATGGAGCCCCGGGCAGGATGGAGATGGAGGTCTGGGAGAGGAGATGGAGCCCGCGGGGGAAAATGGAGCCGCCACGGGGAGATGGAGCCGCCGCCCCCCGCCCGCCACCGGCCCAGCGCGGCCGCCGGGACCCGCCCAGCCCGGCGCGGCTCTGCGGCTCCTCCGCCGCCCCCGGCCCGCGCTCCGCGGGGGGAGCCGCCGCCTGCCCAGCGCTGCCCCGGGCACCCCGCGGAGCGGCCCCAGCGCCCGCCCGTCGCCTCCCCGCGGGCTGCAGCCCGGCTGCCCCGGCAGACCCACCCCTTCCTCCCGTTGCTGCGCGGCCTCGCCCGGCTCCCCACGCGGGGCTGCGATGGCGGGAGCGGCCCGGCGCGGCGCGGGGGATCCCCTACTGCTGGCCCTCCCCTCGCCCCCCCCCGGCAGCGCTGCCCCGCGGCCGGCGGGCCCTTACCGGCTGCTGGCGGCGCTGGGCGGCCCGGGCGCTGTGACAGGCGGGCGGCACGGCGGGTCCCGGAGCCGCCTCCTCCCTGCCCGCCCCGGGGCCGCCCCGCCCCGCTCTCGCGAGAGCCGCGGGCACCGCCCGGGCCCGCCCCGGGCACCGGCCGGGCCTCGAGGCCGCGCGGTGCAGCGGCCGCTCCGGGCGGGCGGGAGGGACGCGGGGCTGTGCCCGCGGCGTCGGGAACGGCCCCCGGCGCTGTCAGGAACGGCCCCGCCGTGCCAGGAACGGCCCCCGGGCCGGCGGTTGGGCCGGGGGCGGGTGCGGGCCCCGGGGCGTTGGAGGTTCCAACGAGCGGGGCCGGGCCGGGCGTTAGCGCGGGTGCGAACGGCCCCGCCGGGAGCACGGGCTGATACAAACGCGCTGAACCCAACGCTCTGAGGCACGGGCAGGGGGGCGATTTTGGGGTGTCCTGTGCAGGGATAAGCGTTGGACTCGATGTCCTTGGGGCTCGGTAAATTCTCCGCCTCAGACGCTGCCCCGGCATCAAACGCAGCTCAGCCCTCGCTGCGCTGGTGCCGAGCCAGGCAGGGCAGGATTTCACAGCTCTGCTTGGCGCCTGCAGCAGCCCAGTGCAGCCGGCTCGAAATCTTGTGGCTGCCTACATTAAGCAGCCCAAAAAAAAAAACCCAAAAAAACAACAACAAGAAAAACGAACCCTAAGTCTTTCTTGAACTATTGAACAATACAGCTGACCTGTTCATTCTTGTTGTGTATGGATATAGGCACTAAAGCCCTCACAGGAAAGTGCAGGGGAGGTAATTAAGGAGCAGGAGTCTTTATGTTTTCTTGTGTCTGCATAAAAACGATGCTTGGTGGAGGAGTTGCTGTTCTCGAGCTCCTCGTGCAGCAGCTGTAAGGAGAACCACATGTGGAGTCACGGTGCTGCACGGTTTGCAGGCGGTGTTTTCACGGCTTTCTGCAGCAGAAAAGCTGGGGTTTTGTAACGAGGGATAGATTCTCACACCAGAGCACTCTGAACCACGCTGAACTTCGGTCTTTGCAGGGATGTGCATTCCTGTGGTCGCTCCCCGCTCCCAGTGGATCACATCAACAACCACTGTCCCAGGTTTTGTATTCTTGGAGTGCACATTGATACAAAAAGCACCATTACATTTCATACAATTTTTATCCATGGATCTTTAATGTTTTTTTAAGTCGCTGGAACACGTGGCTTGTTTGTTATCTCCAAGGCGGTGGAAAGGCAGCCAGCCCCTTCCTGCGTTCATTTGCATGGCCCTCTTTGCCTGGAAGAAATACCTGTTCTCTGGGACAGTGTGGCTTTGAAATAGGATACTGCCTGGAATCTGCAGGGTAACATCTGACTTCAAAAGAAACACCACTGCAGCTGGGAGACGAGGCATGCTAGAGTTGCTCCTTAAAAATAATGAGATGTGTTAAGAAGTTAGTGATGTGTAATAGAAGGTTAAAGATAAATGTAATCAGCTCCACTCTCCCACCATATCCCAGCATTTTTCTACCCCGCAGCTCTACAGAAAGATCATTTGGTGAAATTATGGCAGCAAAGCAAAACAATTTGTTTCCCTCTGCTTTACTATTGTTGAAGTAGGTGACACCTTATGGTTGAACCATTAGTCTTCCTACTTGAAATATCTTAAACTTTTACTGGTTATGTAACAACTAAATAAAAGTTTCTGATTTTAAAAAATGCACCTTTAATCTGTACAAAGGGTTGTTTGTGTAAACACAGCCCAGAGTGAATTGAAATGCAGAGTTCCTGCTCCTTCCAGCCACCCAGCCAACAGCTGTGTGGAGAACAGCAGTGTCCTGGTGGTCAGTTTTCACATCTTTTCAAACCCCAGCAGAGCTGTTTGCTCATCCTGTGATCAAAGGGTGCTCGCTTGCATCTCTGGGTTCTCTCGGAGGCCTGGGCAATTATCTTGTGCTCATAGGCTGAACACTCAGCATTCATAACTACACCAGTTGCTTCAGGGCAGAGCTCAATGCATTTGTTATTGACAGCAAGCAATGAGAATTAATTGTGTCATTAATTCACTGGGGAACAGCTCGCAGAATCCCAGAATCATTTCACTTGGAAAAGATCTCTGAGGTCATCACCTGTGACTGATCCACACTTTGTGAACCAGCCCAGGGCACTGAGTGCCACATCCAGTCATTCCCTGGACACCTTCCAGTGCCTGACCACATTTTCCATGGAGAAATTCCTCCTGGTGTCCATACCGGCCCTCCCCCAGTGCAGCTTGAGGCCATGTCCTCTTTGTGTCACTTGCTGCCTGGGAGACCAAATCCACCTGGCCACAACCTCGGACTTGAGCAACCCTCTTACTCCTCAGGGCTTTAGAAGCAGGAGAAGTCTCAGGATGAGAAGCTGGCACTGGTGAGAGGGTTGTTCTCACACCGGTGCACACGATCCCCTGGGTTTGCTGCTCTTGTGGCAACCACAGCTGCAGGTCTGGAACTGGCAGCACCAGCCCGTGTGGAGCTCGCCCAGCAGACCTCCCACGTCCTCCTGCTGCCCCGGTGCACTTGGCACCTGGATGCCCTGTGCTTGTCCAGACACAGCTCTGCCTGTCACACCCAATTCGTTCTGAATCACACCAACAGGCTTGTGCTCACAGGCAGAACTCGCTGCAGGTTTTGGGCTTTAAATATTTCAAAAATAAATATCCATGAGTATTTTTGCATAAATGAGTAGTGCCTGTCGGCTCAGGAGGGAGACCTTTCTTCCCTAGGCAAGTCTAGGAAGTGTTTTAAAATAAACACATCCACCAGTTACCAGAAAACTCTGCTACAAACTGACAACTGTTTTTAAGAGGTTGTTGCCAGTTCTTGCATTTGTTCCCCAGGATAATACAGGCTGCTTTGCTTTAATTCTCAAGACTGCAGGGCTTTAAGTTGGAAGCAAACAAGCATGAACTCAGTGTGGCCACAGCCTGTAATCCTCAGGCTTCACCTTTCTGCTGGCCAGGGGCTTGGAGAACCTCATACATTTATAACTCTTCCACAGCACGTCTGTCTTAAGGAATCTGATTTAGTGGCTTATTCTCCAAAGGTTTTATGATTCATCACTTGTGATAGACAAGGAGAAATATGAAATATGGCCTATGTGTACTGCTGTAACTCCATTGACATTGGACATCTATCATCAGCTACCATTGGTATTCTACTCCTAAAGTATTTATATCCCATTATTGAATTCCTCACAATCTTCAAGTGTATTCTCTTCCCAACGACTTTATGAGGTCAGGAAGAACTGTCACAGTCAGGAAAGGGAACAGAGGGTGTTCTGCTCTGGCCTTGCAAGGAAGACTTGAGAAACTGAGCAGCTCCCTTCTCAAGCCATTGCCAGAACCCTGACCCAGTGCACTGCACTTCTTTCCATCTGCACCCTGTTTGTTTGCTAATAAAAATTAATGCCAAATGTTCCCCCCTTGGAGACATCTCTGCTGGCAAAATATTCAAATAGAAAATTCAATGTGCTGGTCTGCAGGTGGGAGCTGAATTAGTTTGGTATCTTTGTATTTTTTTTATGGAGTGTTGCTCTTACTATCTGCACCACAACCTCCAACAACTTCTTTATGAATTCATCTGCAGTTGAGTTTATCCTTCAGAGCATCACACTTTATCTCAGGTCTTCATTTATATTCATCAGTGGGGATGGAAGTAAAATTTAGCTTTAATTCAAAGGCTAATTTAGGTTTCAGTGTATGATTAACATTCCACAATTACTACCATCAAAGTCAAGCATATGCATAAGTCTCTGCAGGACTGAGGCCAAAACGGTTTCAAGTATCCACTTATTCGATACATTTTATATAAATAATTATTCTTATCTATTATTTATGCAAGGGCCTTAACTAGGTAAATCTTGATACAGCTAGGCCTCTCTCTCCATATAATTACTCATCTTCTTACTTTTCATCTGGTTTCTACTGTACCTTGTTATCTAATTCCTTGGGTATGAGCACACTTCACTAACTGTAAATACAATTTACTCTCAGGAGCATCAGGAATATTCAGCAATCTCCAAACCTAAGTTTTCAGGATAATGTGCAACAACTCCCAACAGGTAAGATCATTGACTGTATAATTTGGTAAAACGAACCATTAAAAAGCAATCAACACCAAATAATAAAAAGCTCTGCTAAATTATAAATTATTGTAACACATCCAGGAAAAATACTGATTTTTCCATTAAATACCATCATTCAACTACAGCAAACAAAGTCCAGCTAGTCCACTCAGCCAAAGTGGAATCACCAAAACTTTAATACTATATTTCTGGCATGCAATATATACATAATTAAACAGTTAAAAAACATGTACAAGTGCAGTATGCATAATGTAAAGGCAGCCTTGCTGTGGATTGTGTCTATCAGGATGTTCACAGCACCAGTCATAACATTCGCTAGCAAGAAAAACAGTAATTGATTTTTGTTAATAGCGCTAATCAGGCATAGCTGTGACAGCTTGTCTTGCCTTCCCACCTGCACGGCCTCCACTCCCTTTTTCCTGGAATCAGGGGGCTGCACAACCTTCCAGCAGCAGGGCACGCTGGACCCCTCGACCAGCAGCTTTGTGAACACCAAGGCGAGGTCAGTGAGCACGAAAAAGCCCAGCAGCAGCAGGCAGTGGGCGAGCACCCAGGTGCAGAAGGGCAGGTTGGCCACGCGGCGGGACACGGGCTCCGTGCACGCCTGGCACAGCTGCAGCAACACCGACAGCACCAGAACGGCCAGAGCCAGCCCCTTCAGGGCTTGCAGCCAGCCCCTCACCGAGCTCCTGCGCTGCAGCAGCCACAGCCCCACCTGCACGCTCGCCAGGTAGATGGCCAGGTAGCCAAAGAGGGAGAGCAGCCCTTCCCGGTTGGCATCGAGGAAGCCGAGCCGGGAGTCCCTGCCATCGCTGCCGTGCAGGATGAACGTCTTCAGAGAGGTAGTGCTGAGGAGCAGCTGGTAAAGCACAGCCAGAGCTAGTGCCACAAGCCAAGCCTTATGTTTGGGGAATATGGCCAAAAGCAGAGATGCTGTGAGTCTCACCGACGCCAAGGTAAAGAAAAAGTTCCAGTGCACCCCGTACTCCGAGGTGTGCTCGTGGTACTCGATGGATTTAACACTCAGCAGCCGCCCCACGCCAAGGGAAATCAGCGGCCACACGGAAAACACCTGCCTGGCCAGACTGGAGAATCTGGGCTGTGTCGTGTGAGACTTCTGTCGAACCTCAGGGCAAACAAGAGCATTTCCAAAGATAAAGGCTCCCACCCCCAAATCCATGACTCCGGTGCCGTAGGTCTCGGCCTTGGCGTATCGCCGGGGATACTGCGGGAAATCCACGGCCAAAATGCTGATGGATGTCAGCACGTTGACATAAACACGGAACACAGTTATTGCTGGAATGCACTCGGGATCCAAGTATGCCTTCTGAAATTCTTTTACAATTTGCCCGAAGGGCACTCTGGTCTCCAGTTTTCTCTGGCTGTATATTTTGGAAAATATTCCGGCACAGAAGGCAGCAAGGATAACTGGTATGAAAAAGATGATTGGAGACAAGACAGTGCAGGAGAACAGGAGAGGAGACACCAGCACCAGGAAGTCTAGCAGCAGGCTGTACTTCCTTGAGCTTACAGGTTTTCCATGGTGCAGGTAGTACAGGATCAGGAGGAGCCCTCTGCAGAGCAGGCACAGCGGAGGCAGGGACAAGCCTGCGGAAATTTCCAGCAAACTCGTTCCGTTTAGGTTGCTGATAAAGGCTTCTTTCAGCTGTTTTTGGGACATTCTTCTTCCTCTGAAAACACAAAACATAAACTTGAGGTAGATTTGTTAAATGGGTCTCAGAACTCCTTAAAAATGAATCAGTTCATTAAAACAACATTGATTTCAGAAGCTACTGAGTTACTTTTCACTTTAAAGAACACAGAGCAGAGCACTGGAGCTGGCCAGGGAAGCCAAGGACAGGCACAGGCTTGAGAAAGCTCCAGCATTTTATATCCTGCTGTGTTCCAACAAGGTGCTTCATGGATTTTTGACGGAGATCTCTGAACATCAAATACTCCACTGAATATTCACATGGTGAATAATCTTACTGCTCTATAGAACATCCTTTCCCATATTCTCTAGGGTGTAAATGGCAGAGACACCTAAAAACGTGGCCCTAAAGAACTTTGTGCTGCCTGGTCAGTACAACCAGCAGCTGCAGCCCCCAAGTGCCTTTTCAGGGCAGCCCCAGCCCCGCTGGGGAGAACCCCTCGGGATGTAAAAAGAGTGAATTAATCACGGGTTCTGCTCAGCCCCGGGGCGGAGCGGGAGCTTACCGGGAGCGGGGGGACGGATGGCGGTGTGGGGACAGAGCCGGCGGGGCCCGGGGCCGCCTCCCCGCCCTCACGGCCCCGGCCCGGAGCGGCCAAGGCGTGAATCTGGGCCCGGTGAAGCGGGCTCGGGGGGTAAAGTCGGGCCCGGGGGCTGAAGCTGGGCCCGGTAAAGCCGGGCCTAGTTCCCCGCCCGCACTTTCGCCGCTTCCGCAGCGCCCGAGCCCCGCCCGAGCCCCCGCCCCGGTTCCGCCTCCCCGGCCCACCCGCCCCGCTCCGCTCCCGGCCCCGGCCCCGCTCCGGCCCCGCTGCCGCCCGCGGTAAGTCCCGAGCCGGCCCTGCCCTCCCGTCCTGCCCGGTATCGCCGCCGCCGGGCCCTGCCCGCCTCAGCCCCGGCGGCGCGGCCCTGAGGGGACACCGCGCCTGGCGGCGCCCTTGGGGTCCTGCCCGAGAGCTGCCACAGCCCCGCGGGTCCCCCCGTGTCCCTCCCCATGTCCCCCGGGTCCCCCCCCATGTCCCCCGGGTCCCCCGGGGTCTGCGGGCACCGGCACAAAAGGCTGTGCCGGGAGAACGGGGTGGATCGCACACGGGTTTGGGGATGGGAGCGCGCCCGGGGCTCCAAACTGACTCCAAGTGGTGTTTTCATGCCGGGTTGAGAAGGAAATTAAGCATGGAATAGGAGTAACAACAGAATGAGAAGAGGAAGAGGAACGGAATAGAGTTAGAATAGAATTAAAACAGAATTAGAATAGAAGTAGAATAGAATTAGAATAGAAAATGAATGGAAGTAGTGGCAGCTTCAGCTGCAGGAAGGACAGAGTTTTTCCTTGCTGTGACTGGAACCTCAGCGTTTATCACAAAAATTCAAAGAGCCTGACTCACCTTGGGTTGGCTCCCAGAAATTTGCAGAGGAAACAGGAAGGGGACAACACAAACTTTTCTGAGTCACTCCCCTTCCCAAAGCTCTGGCTTCTCTGGCACCGTCAGACCCTCAGATCTGTCCTGTTTCTCCAAACAGAAGGGATTTAACAAGTGGTTGCAGTTTCTTGCCAAGAAAACTTGCTTTATTAAAGAGAAGCAAAGCACTTTATTCCTGATGGAATGGAAGATACATGATTCCCTCCAAAAAAGCTTTATTTACAGGGGCAGCAGAAGGTGACCATCACTCTGGGTAGGATTTCCAGCTCCAGTGTTACTTGGGCCACACTGGGATCAGTAATTTTATCTGGATTCTTTGGAATTTGCTTGTGGAACCCTCTGGAGAATGACATCCCCAGAGTTATTTTTATCTAAACACCTTTTTATTTTCTTTATTTAAGCATTCTCCAGTGTGATTTGAATGAAGTATCCTAAAGGAAAGGCTCTCTCCAGTCTTCCCATCCACAGGCCTGGACAAGATGCCAAAGCAGGTAAAAAGAAAAGCAGGAATTGTGCATGCTAATTAAATTTTACTGCCAGGAGAGAATTCTTGGCTTATTTCCATGCAGTCAAGATTAGGTAACACTAATGAATATTCACCCCTGCTTCAGGAATTGACTGGACCTATTTACTGTGGGTTTGAGCTGTATTAGAGACACCAGGCAGTGATTTTTGTTGTGCCCTGGGCTCTAACAGGGCAGGTGTTAATGCAGGCAGCAAGCACATCCTGAGGGTGTTTGTTCAGGAAAATGAATGGACACAAGAGTTGGGATTTATTTTCAGATATTCTTTTACTTTTGGCTAAGCAATCATAACTCAACTGAAGTGATGCTGAGCAGGGCAGCAGAACCAAGCAGAACTCAGTCTTGCAGTCTCACAGTGGATTTAACTTGCCTGCTGTAATACAGGAACACGGGGGACACGGGGAGAAAGGGGAATTGGCAGGAACTCCTCAGGTCCATGGAGTGTTTCCTAATTGTGGTGTCTGTTCTCTGACAACAGCAAGCTGCTTAATGCTCATTCAGAGGAGAATAACAGAAATCACTTGGATGGCAGTGTTTTACTGCGTTGCTAAGCTTTTTATTTTTCCCCTTACTGTGTAAAATTCTGTATTACTGGAAATGAATTACTTATGCTGTCTGCAAAAGATAAAATGCTCCTAAATGAGTACACTATTGTAGCTTTTTTTTTTTCCTTAGGAACATGCTAAATGGGGTTTGCAGTGCATTTCCCCATATTAATGAGCTCAGCTCACATAGTGGGAATGCTACTAACTAAATTTAGCATTTTCTGTACAAATAAGGTGATGTTGTTCATTAGTTAACTTGTGGGACAGGTAAGTAGGGATAGTTTGGAGAACTTTCTGTCAAAGAGAAGGAGATCAGAAGAGGAGTGTATAGAGTGCAAAAATCAGGACTGGAAACTTTTCCATTCCTCATTTTCTTATCCAGCTTCTCCTTTCCCCAGAAATGGCAAACAGGTGCTGGAATCTCTCTTCTGGCTGGTTTTCCATTACATACAACAAGTGTGTCCTTCCAGATAATGCTGTCAAGGACATGGGAACCCCGAGGCTGAGATTTGATTATTTTCAGTGATTCAAAGGGGACAAAACTTCAGCTAAGGCAGGGCAGCTCTCCCCCCAGCACCATTCCTCTACCCTCTGGCTGTGATGTTTGCTCTCTGCAGCATTCACCCTGAAAATGAGAGTCTCTGCTAGGAAAGCTGCATTTGTTTTGGCCTGCAGGGGCTTCCAGCTGTACCTGCAGCCAGCCCTTCCTGCTTCCCTGAGCCCAGGGCACTGCTTGGATTGAAGGCATGACATGCAGAGGCTTAGAAATGAGCCAGTTGCAAGAACTTGGTGTGTGTCTGTGCAGAACTGCAGTGTGAGCCCAAGGCCATGTTCTCTGGGTGCCTTTGCTCACAGCCAGAACACTTTTCTAACATCAGAGCAGGAGGAGGAGGAGCAGCTGGGAGGAGGAGCAGCTCACACATGCTGGCTCCTGCTGAGGCCGAATTTTGGTGACATGGAAGCAGCAGAGGAGCTAGAACAGGGAATGGGGTGAAAGTCCAGCTTTTGACCTTTCACTGGTGGTGATCTGACATCCCCTCCAGGAAAATGGCCAAAGGGAAGATTCTCTCATCCAGAATGACCTCAGTGAATCATTTGAAGAAGAAGTTAGAGCCTTCCTCGGTGATGAAGAGAAACTGCATCTTTTTGACGACCTCACAAAAGTGAATCCGGTGACAACCAGGACAGGTGAGCAGCCAGGGAATGTCTGCTGAGGGATCCCTTTCCCTGCTGGTCACTGACACTGGCAGCTCCTGCTCTCACTGCATTACCACCATGAACACAGGAGTTGTGTATGTTACCCCTACATCACTCTCTTGCTCATCTTATTCTCTATTAACCTGATAAGTAGCACACCTGAGACTTTTGTTACAAACAGGCACAGCAAGAGTCAAACACACTTTGCAAAAGATGCTGACAGAAGGTGTTGCTTTTCAGTTCTGAAATGTCTTCAAGCAAGATACAGAGTCAACCTGTTCTATACAAATGCTGGCTGCAGTCTGGTGGCTTTAAATCCTTTCCAGCCTTTCTCCTGCCTCTACTCACCTGAGCTCATGAGGGAGTACCACATTGCACTTTGTCCTCAGGTAACCCTTGTGTTTGAGATCACTGTCCTTCTGCAGAGCCTAGGTGTCACACTGCTCCAAGTTTATCTGAGCAAAATACTCCCACAGGATAAACCCCATTTCTAGTGAAATACTAGCTCTGTTAAAAGAACAGTTCTCTTTTCAGGTAAATGTGAGATGACCCTTGCTATCCATTGCTGTTGAACTGTATGGTTACTGTACTCTTAAATATGAATATTCTCTTTCACTGCCAGGATTTAAAACCTCACATCTTTGCAGTGGCTGAGCAAACCTACAGGAATGTCCAAAAGCAGATGGACCCTGTGAACCAGTCCATCATTGTGAGTGGAGAAAGTGGTGCTGGGAAGGTAAGGAAATGTTTTTCTCCGACATTGCTCTCAAGTTTTGAGCTCTGCCAGTGATTTGTAGTGCAGAGTAGTGCAGAGAATGAGCAAAGATGAATTAAAAACACCTCTGACACAGCACGTAGCCAATCTGCCCAGCGCGACTCTCTTGAAATGTGTGTGAAGCATTAAGTGATTGCTGCAGTTAAACACACTCTGCTTAATATAGCAGCTCTTCAGGTGACATATGTCATTTCTGGAGGGCTGGGTTTGAATCATTCAGCAGGATTTGCACCTGAGTTAATGCCTCAGCCTGGTCTGTCAGGGAGCTCGTGTGAGTCTCAACAAACCCTCTGTAAAGACTTAGAGCAGTGGATTCAGCTCCTATCGTGGCCCTCCTGTGATGGTCCATCCCTGCTCAGGACAATGCAGCAAGAACAAGATGCTTTGCTGAATGGTAATGACCCAAAATCCGTTCACATTCATCCCATCCCAAGGCAGTAGCTGTTAATTCTGGCTGAGCTTCCAGATGCCGACACCTCGATGGAATTGCCATTCAGCAGAGCACTCGCACTGCTGCAGCACTGAAATGTGTGTCTGTGGCACAGAGATCCCACTGAACCAGAGCTCTGAACCTGACACAGTTCCTCTCTTTAGCCTCCCCTCCAGATTCACACTGTTTCCAGAAGGCAGCACTGACATAACTGATAACATGCTAAAAACAAAGAGCTACTGTCAGATCTCTCTCTTGCAGACCTGGACCTCTCGCTGCCTTATGAAGTTCTATGCCTCTGTTGCTGCCTCAGTTATCTCCCCAAAAGGCACCAAAACTGTGGAAAGGATAGAGAGGAGAGTGCTGGATTCCAACCCTGTCATGGAAGCATTTGGTAAACGTGGCTTTTTTAACAACAAACTAAAGTAATGGCCACTGTGGGAATGTCCTTTGTTCTCACACGAGTTTAAGCTATCTCTTGGTCCTCTCCTTAAAAACAAACTCTTCAGATACTGGAGTTATTTACAGATCACCCTAAATACCTGAATGTGCTGCATGGCAGAGTGGGACCACTCTGATTGTTCTGTGTCTGCCACTGGCAATTTCACAGGGAACGCCTGCACCCTGCGGAATAACAACAGCAGCAGGTTTGGGAAATACATCCAGCTCCAGCTAGACAGGTAAGAATTACTGTGTAAGACCTTACCTGCTGTCTTGTTCCTTTAAATCTTTATTATCTTGTTCCTTTAAAACTTATTTCTGAAATCTACTGTAGAATTTTTTATGTCTTTAGAGTGTATTTTGGTTTGCTGGCAGCTTAAGCTGTTATTATTTTCTTTTTTTTTTTTTTTTTTATTCTGCAAGCTCTCATCCTGATCTCTAAAAGAGAGCAATGAAAAGATAGTGATGTAGTTAAGAACTCTGAATAAAATATGAACAAAACTGAATGTGAACTGCAAAGCATTGACAATCAAGTGGTCTCAGAACAACACAACCCCTCTTGGATTCTGTGAAGAGGTTTTGTTGAAATCTTTGCTCTTTTTCCCCTCTCTAGATTCCATCATTTGACTGGTGCTTCCATCCAGACTTTCCTTCTGGAGAAAACAAGAGTTACCTATCAGGCCCCCAACGAAAGAAACTTCCATATTTTTTATCAGGTTTGCCTTCAGTTAATTTTGCTGTGTATTTCTGACACACAGCAGGGATGAAATCACCAGATTTAGCACAGTTGCAACTTTTAATAATAACCAGTTTCCCTGTCTCCCAGGCTTCCAAATTAAATCACCCTCCCAGTATGTTATTCTTCACTGTCTGGGAGCTGTAAACACCAAAGGCAGAATTCAATTGTTACCTTGTTTTCCATCTCCAGATCACAAAAGGTGCTTCTGCAGAGGAGAGGCTGGAGTGGAACCTTCCAGAAGGGGCCGAGTACCGCTGGCTGCCAAATTCTGAAAGTGACTTAGATGGTAAAGATTAGTTTCACTAACTAATTAATCAATCCACAAATAATGGCTGGAATTTTAAAGGGAGGCAGGCAAAAATACATCCTGTTCAATCCCTTGGACAGCCAACAGCAGATGTTTTGCAAAGCCACCTGCATTATTGGGATTCTTTTTAAGTTTCACTTGGCACTGTTAAGTCTTAAAGCTTAAAATCAGTCACCTGGCTTAAAACAGCTGGTTCTGGCCTGGCAAATTTGCATCTCTGTGGCTTTGTTTAGAAACTGTCTTGTCTTTGCATGTGCTTCACCTGACAGAGGCAGAAAAAACCTCTGGGCTGGTTCTCCAGCTTGTGTGTGGGATTTACCCAAAGAGCTTCTCCACTGGCCATTCCAGCTGGATTGGATGTGCTGAGATGTTCTGCTTGCCCCTGTTTTTGTGCTTGGCTTTTTCAAGAGCACTGTTTGGCTTTTCAGAGGACTGCTTCGAGGTGACCAGAGGGGCAATGTTCCACCTGGGCATCGGCCGCGCCACGCAGAGCAATATTTTCAAGGTCAGCCACACAGCAGGGACAGCACGAAGCTGCTGAGGATGTTGGGAATGTGTTCCCAGGGTGGGATTGCTGCTGGAATAAATCCCTGGCACTGTGCAGAGCTGCTGCTCCTCACTGGAGGGCCCTCAGCTCCACATCAGGCTGCACAGCCAGAGATTAGATCAGAACTAAAAGTCTGCACCTCGGAATTTCAGTTTGCTTTCAGGAATTGCAGCATTAGGGATTCACTCAGAAGTTTGGGATCTGCTTGCTGCCTTTTGTGCAGGAATGTTGTGAACTGGCCTGTTCCTGGGGCTAAAGGAAGGCTCAGGGGACACTGTCTTGGGGGGAGCTGTCCTGAAGAACTGCCTGATTGTATTCCAGGTGTTATCAGGCCTTCTGCACCTCGGGAATGTTCAATTCTCTAATCCAGTGGATGAATCTCAGCCTTGTGAACTGGAAGACAAAACCAAAGGTGAGGCAACAACCATGCCATGCTCCAGAGCCTTGTTAGTGCAGTGCAGATGCCCAAGGGAAAGGATTAGAGAAAGGAAAGAATAGAAAGAATTATTTCCTTTAGTTAGTTAATTTAAATTTACTTATTAAATTTATTTACTTATTAACATTTATAAATTTATTAAAATTTATTAAATCTACCAAATTTTCACTTGAGTGATTTTAACTATTATTACTTTTCATTATTAATTCCTTTTAACTACTAATAATTCTAATTCCTTTATTAATAACTTAATTTTAAAATTTAATAAATTTGTTTAAACTGTATAGTTAATTGCAATTTAAATTATTAAATAAAATTTATTTAATTTAAATTAATTTCTTCACTTAATTCAGAAAGAATTCCTTATTAAAGGAAAGAATTTGAACAATAACTCTCCTGCTGATAGGAGACAATCAAGGCCATGAGCAACCCAAAATTTAGGTGTGTTTTTGTGAGCAAACAAAAACCCAGTGCTCCCCTGCCCTTAGAGATAATATCCTTCCCTGACAGGTCAGGGCAACTGCAGCATTAGCCAGTGATTTCAGGAGGATTATTGGCAGAACTGTGGCTCTTGATTGTAATCTTACTCTGCCATCACAGGGCTGGCAGAAACCTGACCCAGAGGGAGAGCAGAGCTTTTCACATGAAAGCTTGGAGGTTTTCATGATAAAGACCAAAACCAGTGACAACAAATCTGTTAAATTGCAGCATGAATAGAGGTTGTTCTGCATAGGCTTGTGAATCTGGATTTCCTTCAGAGCTAAAACTGCCCTCAACAGTGAAGTTTCCTGCTACAATTTCACATGCTCTGAACTCTAAACTACTTAACACTCAAGTAATTTTGAATACAGCTCAGCTGAGAAAGATCTTAAATTCTTTATCAGCAAATACTCACTTTTCTGCACTTCCTTTCTATCCCCAAATTCCTGCTTTTTTCCTGGTCATCACTGTTTGATTTGTCTGTCTGGATTTTGAGGTTCCTGCTCAAAAGAGGTGAACAAGTGACAAAGACACACCTAGAGAGAAAAACAACTTCAGTGCGGCAAACTTCAGCTTTTTCTGGTATTCCTTCATTTTAAAGAGAGGCCCCAAAATTCTGGGGGCACTCTACATCCAAATTAAGAGTCTGGTTTTGTAAAACTTGCTCCTGAGTTTGGGTAGAAAGATCCAAAATCCACATTTGAGTTGGAGAGCTGATGGAAGTGGCATTTTTCTACACAGTCTCTAGACCTCCCATATCTTCAGAGGCATGAACACACCAGGTAACCTTGCACTGTTTGTTCTCCTGAACAAGAGTTCGTGAAGACCACGGGGGATCTGCTCCAGATTCCCATTGAGGAACTCCTGGAATCTTTAAGGATTCGAACAATCACTGCTGGAAAACAGCAGCAAGTGTTCAAGAAGCCATGCTCCAGAGCTGAGTGTGAGACCAGGAGGGACTGCCTGGCCAAAGTCATCTATGCCAAGTAAGGATGTGCTAATCTGGGTGGCTTTTGGGAGGGGATGGGGAGGCCAGAGGGATTTGCTTGTTTCATGGCAGCACATCAGAAATTCCTCTTCCTTCCAAGTGACACTGATGGAAACAGCAGTAAAGGAAACAATTCTGATTATTGCAAGCAAGCAGCTTCCAGCTAATCCCCTTGTTGCTGTCTGCAGGTTGTTTGAGTGGCTGGTTTTGGTGATAAATGAAAACATCTACACAGATCCCTCAGTATGGACCAGCTTTATAGGTATGGATATCCCACCCTGGTTTAACTCAGGGGCCAGCAGCCCTCCAAGCTGCTCCTAAACTAAAGCTCTCTGTCCTCCCACATTCCTTCCAGGTTTGTTGGATGTTTATGGGTTTGAAGCTTTCCCTGAAAACAACTTGGAGCAGCTCTGTATTAATTATGCCAATGAGAAACTGCAGCAGCACTTTGTAGCTCACTACCTGAAGGCACAGCAGGTAATACCCCAAACTGAAGATCAAATCTTCAATATCTGATTTAAAACAGCATCTTTTTGTCACTTTAATTGCATTGCTGTGCCCATGGTCAGATGGAACCTTCAGCAATGCTACAGAAAGCAGTGGGAGGGAGCAGTGATTTTGCAGAGGGGGAGTGTGGGGCAGTTGGAATGACACAGCTTTGTCTCTTGGGGACTGGAAATCCATTGGATCTCTGCCTGTCAGGCTGTTTGCTTTTCCTCAAAGAGCTGAACACTTGAGACTAAATTCTTGGGGTAAGTACAGCCTGACTTGAGATTCTCTTGGAAGTTTCTGCTTACAGCCATTAAGCATAAAGTCCCTAAAGAATGGGGAGCTTCCAGGCTGAGCTTGGTGTGAAGGCAAGGCCCACCAGGACCCTCTCACCCAAACACCTGAGCACGTGGGACCACAAGACACAGCTCCCAGTCATGCTGCTGCCTTTAAACCAAACCCCAGTGTGCACCAGCTTTTATTTTTGCTTAAGGAGGGACACAGATGGTGTTGTTTCACAGCAGAGAAGGTTTTTTTGCACCATGCAGTCCCTCACTGGTCACACACTGCTAATTCCAGCTCTCATCTGAGTGCCCTGCAAGGTGCAGAGTCCTTGCCAGGGCTGCTGCTCTAGCCCTCCCCACTGCAGATCCATTACCAAAATGCTCTTTGCCATTAACTGGAATCAGGGAAATTATTTTCTTTATGGCACCAGTGTGCTGGCACCTCCTACCTCACAGCAGGCTTTTGTCAATTTATTCAGGAGATAAGTATTTCTTTGACTGCAATTTATGCTTTTGCTATTGCCAGGCTGCTTTCCCTGCCTGCCCTGGTCAGCATGCCAGGGGTTAATGGTCAGGGAAGATGGAAAGCAAGTTCAAGCACACAATTGCTTTGCTTGAAACAGCTCCATGACCTCTGTTTATAGCACCCCTCCCACGCACTGCCTGCCCTCTTACCTCTGGATCTGGCTGTCCCCCAAACCACTTAAATGCCATTAGTGGCTGTGCTGAGCAAGCTTTTGGCAGGAGGCTTTTCAAATAACTGCCCAGAGCTTGTGCTTGTTAAACACTGCTGACAGTTTGTCCTGTAATTCAGCATAAATATTGTACCAATTATTCCAACCCAGTATCTCTCTGCACTTCCTTTCAGATCAGGCTTTGCTTTAAATGGAGCCCAGTTAGTGAAGTCTGGCACACAAAGGTTGGGTTGGGGCTGTGTTCCAGTCCAAGGAAGGAGTTCTGCTTGTTCCTTGTCCTTCAGGGAAAATCTCAGCACAGCCAGGAGAGGCTTTGTGTGACTGTGGCCTTTGTTTGTTCTCTAAAGCAGCCTTGCAGCTCGCTCTGATAAATCCATGGGGCTCCCAAATCCTCCGACAAATTGTTCCAGCAGGTTCTGATCCACACCCAAAAGCTACCTGGGGTGGAATATCCTCATGTGGGTTTTTTTTTCTCAAGCTTGGTGTTGATCTGGAGCTGAGCTGGGATTAACTCCTCAAACAGGACCTGGTTCAGCTGCCCAAGGCACAGAGTTCTGAGCTCTGGTGCCCTCTGCTGCAGAATAACCCCTTCCCTCTTCCTTCAGGAAGAATATGTAGCTGAAGGCCTGCAGTGGTCATTCATAAACTACCAGGATAACCAGAACTGCCTTGATCTCATAGAGGGAAATCCCCTCAGCATTTTTTCCTTGCTGAATGAGGTAAGTGTGATTTAAACCCTTCATTTCTTGGGCCCAGTTTCCTGCCTTTGTCCCACACCACCAAAGAAAACACAAACAGTAAATTAATAGCAGCTATAAAATGTCTGCAGGGCTTCAGTTTCAGAAAAGTCATGCCACTGCTTCCTCCTGTTCTGAGTTGTCTTTTTCCCTCTGATCCATGTTCTGATTCAAATATGAAGCCTCAATTACTTCTCTCCCCCTCTTCCTTCCCAATATTTCAGGCCTTGCATACTCAAAGCAGCTCTAAAGGTAATATTGCTACGATTTGAATTTTAAATGTTGTAGCTTTTAGAATCAGTTCTTTGGGACAAATCAGAGATGCTGCAATTGTGTGTCCTTTGCAGGAGTGTCGTCTGAACAGACCCTCCAACACTGACCTGTTCCAAACCAGGATTGAGAAAGCCTTGTCCAGTAATCAGTGTTTAAGTCGAGATAAGTTCAGTAAGAAGCCCAACTTTATCATTTCCCATTATGCTGGCAAAGTCTGCTATCATCTGGCAGCAATGGTGGAGAAAAATAAGGTAGGTGCTTGCAGAAAGAGCTGTTTAAAAAAATTTTAAAAGTATCTTACAGACCTAAAGCGATTTAAATCAAAGCCCCACTGACAAATATGTTCATTGCTGGGTCCTGGACATACCTTGCTGCAAATAAATCCTTCAGGCCATGTAAAACTGGGTGATGTTCTTGGTGTGATTCTCTGAACCACCACTGGCACAGGCAGATGCTTTGTTACACCTCAGAGTTGAGGTTGAAGTGAACCATCACCAAATCAGGGCTTCCTCCATTCCTGGGGGATGCAGAATTGTTAATGGCATCAGGGCATTTTTATAGCTAGAAATACAGCACTTAATTCCCAAAAAAAATCAGACAAATTTATGAGAAACAAGAGCATGGGCTTAACTACTGAAAGTGCTGAAAGCACTCAAATTTTGGCCATCAGGGAATAACTGAAATGTGAACTAGTCTGCAGAGAGGAGGCTCCCTTCTCAGCTCTGACATTCCCAGCAATTATGGCAAGTGCTACTATTTATTTAGCAATAAAACACCATCTCTTTAATTCAAAGGAATATTTCTGATGTCTTCTGCAGTCTGTGCTTCAGGGACTGAACCAGTCCTGAGAGTTGGAGCTTTCTTAGGCTGTGTAACAAGAACAGTGTTGGGAGCAGTTGTACATTTGACTGGATTTGCTGAATGTTCAGCCAAACATTGTTTTCTGTTCCTAAATCTGACTATGAATGAATGCACATAATCAGATTTGAAGCTGCAGCTGTGGTCATATCAAATTTGGCATCAGAAATACTGTTCTATCTCTATATGTGGAATTCTTATTTTCAGAGGTGCAGGTGCCTGCCAGGTCCAGATACTGACAGGTCATGTCTGTTTGCAGGATGCTGTTCCACCAGAGCTGGTCCATGTTTTGCAGAACTCAAAGGACCCTTTGCTTCAAAAATTATTTCCTGTGATGGAAAAGAACCAAAATAACACCAAAACCCAGAACAGAGCAGCTGTTGTTACAGTGGTGTCCAAGTTCAAGGTACATCCTATTCAGGTTTCTGCTGTAATTTTGGAAAATTTCTGGGTTTACCATCAACAGTTTGATGAAGGCATCCACAGAGTGGATTTTTTGCTCAAGCTGTCCTGTAGAAGTGCTCCAACGCTGAGTCTGTAAAGAGATTTTTCCCAAAAGCAGCTTCATGGGGTGGATGGAAGATCCCTGAGGAGGAGGAGCCCTGATGAACCCTGTGTTTGTGTCCTGCAGAGCTCCCTGGAACACCTGATGGAGATTTTGAGCAGAACCACACCCCATTACATCCGCTGCATCAAGCCTAACGCTGACTGCAAGGCCATGACTTTCAGGAGAGAAGAGGTAACTTTTCCAAAGCCTTTGCTCTGGGTTTCTTAGGATCTTGAGTGACTTGCAAAGCTCTTTCCATGGCACATTTTGAAACAGCTCTTTCTCCTTTGAGATAAACACCCTTTCAGAGTCACTGAGGTGCTTGTCCAAAACAGCTCCTAAGCACAGCAGCTCTTCCAGCTGCACCTTGCTTGTTGCTGGGGTGATTTGGTCTGCTGCCCTCCCAGCCCTTCAAAGAGGTGGAGGTGATCTGAGCAGCCCTGGGCACACAAATACCTTCAAAACAAAACTCTGCTTGCTGCTGGAGTCCAGGAGGCTGAGAAGCTTTGGGAGCAGAGCAGCAGATGCTAAAGCTGTAACTAGAGAACCTCATCTGATGGGCAGTCAGGCTCTAAACAGCCATGGAATCTGCTGAGCATGGAAATACCAACCCTGGCTGTTCACACCCTGCTGGGTTTGGGCACTGCTGGCTGTGGATGCCCAGGACAGGGCACACAAGGAGCAGCTTCCACAAAAGTCAGTGTTGCCTAAACCATCTCAATCTGTGCCCCAGGTTCTCAGCCAGCTCCAGGCCTGTGGAATAGTGGAAGCCATCAGCATCAGTGCAGCAGGTTTCCCAGTCAGGTAAGTCCAGCTTCTTCAGCATAATCCTTTTCTATAGCAATTGGTGGCATTTAGTTATTCAGAAGAGCTTATAAGCAAGAAACACAAATATTTTGCACCATCAGCACATCCAATTCCTGCCCAGGCTTTGCTACAATCACTGTTACTGGGAAATCTGAATTTCTTCAGAATTTCTGTACTTTCTGGCCTGTTTGACCATTTAGGCATCAGTCTGTTTGCATCCCACATACTGGATCCACAGAGCCATTCTGGAGTTTTCCCCTTTCAAAGGATGAGTTATTTACCATACAGCAAAAAGGATCAGTTATTTACCATACAGCAAAAAGGATCAGTTATTCACAGTAATGATTCTTGCCTGGAATTGACTGCACATTTGTCTCTCAGGATCCCTTTCCAAAGTTTCACTGAGCGCTATGAACTATTGAGAAAATCCTGGGGCTCCAGTAAAAAGAGAGTGTGGGATAAAAGTAACTTTCATCCTGCTGAGAAAAAAGGTGAGTTTCTACAGGTAATCCCTCTGCCATCAAGTAAAATTGTCCCTGTACCCATTTGGCATCACACAGATCAGATAATTACTGTATTCACCACTATTCTCAAAATACTTCTTTAACCTGTCACCAACCTGAGTTTCTAATTTGCTTTAACACTTAAAATCTTTCCCCTCACTGCTGGTTTTCTGTGTTCCTCCTGGGTGGAACAATCACAGTTACAGTGGTGTCTGGGGTTCCCCTCACCCAATATAATTTGATTTAGAGTTGATTCTTTAGTAGACTTGAAAACCACTTATCTTTTGCCTTATTTTCCTTCTCCTTCCTTTCTTCCCCCCCGCCGTTTCTTTGCTGAATCACTGACCTTCCAGCTTACCTGGACTCTGCTGCTTCTTCCACCTTTTGCCAACTTCTCTTTTTCTAACTGAGGATGGACTTTAACAAACACAATCCAACCTACAGGTAATGCCTTTGCTATGAACTCCTGAGAGGAGGAGCTCATCAGGTGGTTAACATTTAATACTGAAGGTTACTGCAGTTGTTTTCTGTCCCCCAAATGAATCCACTCTTCACCCAGTGGGTCTGGTCAATAAACAGCAGCTGTGGGAAGCAGGACCAGCCTGTTCAGATGAGTAAAATTGCTGGGAATCTCCTCACCATGTGGAAGTGGGGTGAAGTAAGGAAGTGCAGGCTGGAAAATTACTTACACACTGGATCTTTCCCCCTCAGTTACAAACCCATTACCTGCAAAGCCTCTTTGTGATAGGTTTTTAGTCCTTTTTATCTCGAGGGGGTAATAAGCTGCAAACAAAGCAAAACAATTGCCCAAACACAGGAATAAGCTTTTGGTTCCCTTATCAGCCCAGCCCCATGAACACCATCAGAGCCACCAGATGTCTTCCTGTAAGCAAGAATTGCTTCTATTTGTTTTCAGGACCTTAAAATGCTCTCATCTCCTTAGAAATATTTATAGCAGAAAAGCAAACAGTATCCAGGATGGAATGATGCAAAACCCATCCAGCCCTGTGCATGCAGGAACTCCTGCAACAGTCTCTTGTTCCAGGTCTGAATTAAGTCTATCTCTATTTCCAAAGAGATTCATCTGGCTGACCTGTTTGTAACGTAGCAAATTGTGCACTGTGTCCCAGAAATGGCTTTAATAACCTGTAATTGCTGCCATAAATTCCTGCTCAGTACAGGACCCCGTAGCTGCTCCCAGTGCCCTGTGACAGCTGTACAATTGTGTAGAATTTGTTTCCCCTTCCTGCACTTTTCAGTACATTAAGGCTACAATTCCCTGTCTTTTGGTCTTTGCTCCCACAGCTTTGAGTTTTGAGTATTTAATGTGATTTTCTTAGGACTCAGCTGTTCAGTCTATTCTTAATTGCACTGCTGCTGCTTTCTCCTGCTTCCATGTAGGATGCTTGGAATGGGAGAACACCTGAGCCTTCTGTTTCACTCTAGACCTACCCCAAATGACAGTTTTATCTGTGGAGAACAGAGGTGATAACAGATGAGAAGGCAGCACCCAACCACAGCCCAGTTCAAACACCCCACACTGGTTTTCTGGTTCCTGGCACCTGTCTCATTTTAGCCTTAAACACAGCAAGATCAAGGGCTCCCAGCCATCTCCTCCTCCCCTCTTGCTGCAGGTGTTTCCCCTCTAAATGGCCAAGAAGTCTCAGTGCAAAGGCAATTCCCTGGCCCTGATTTCTAAGTTTTGCCTTCTCCTCAATGCTTCACTTCCAGGTGAGATTCCAGTGATGGGTGATGACAAAGCACCACGTGCTGCTGTTCTGGAGATCCTTCAGGATGCTGTTAGGGAACAAACCCCTGCTCAGGAAACAGGGGATGGAGCAAAAATCCCCTCGGTCTACTGTGGTGAAACCAAGGTGTTCCTGGCCAATTCCATGGTAAGTGCTGCTCCTTGGCTGATGGCTCTGGAGTGCTCCTGCCAAGCCAGCATGACCAGAGTTGAGCATTTTCCATCCAGTTCTTAAACTCAATCAAGCACCCATCAGAATCCAGCTCTGCAAAGCTCTTTGTGTAACAGCCTCTGTGTTGCCAGTGGACAAGGAGCTGCACTTGTGTCTAGGATTGTCAGAATTCCATTAAAGATGACAGCTTTCCTTAGCTCCAGATGACAGATTTGGCTGCTCCAGCAGGCCTACACAATTTCCTGGGGAAAGGGAGGAAGGAGACAAAGGCACTTCTGCCAGGCTTGCAGGATGCAGCCCTGGAAGCAGCCCCTTCAGGGGAGCTGGGTGTGAGCCTGCTTCTGCTGGGACTGTGGGAGGCTCCACTTTCCTCCCCAAGAACTTCCATTTTCATTTCCATGTTCCCAAAGAAGCACTAATGAAGTGCTGGCACTTCCCAAACCTAATCCAGCAGTCAAAGGATGCTGGAATGAGGCTGTGGTCCCCTGACAAACACCAAGAGGCTGCACAATTCCATCCCTAACTCCAGGCTCCTGTTCCCCACTGCAGCTGGAGCTCCTGGAAGCCAGGAGAACAGAGGTGTTAAATGAGAAGGCATTTTGCATCCAGTGCTGTTGGAGAAGATTTAAAGAGAAGAAAACAGCAAAGAAGAAACGCTCTGCAGCTCTCATCCAAGCAGGTGACTTGCTAAGGGTGGGGCTGAAATGACAGCAAGGGACAGTTCCAGTCACACTGGGGGGTTACAGAGGCACGAGTGGCTAAGGGCCATCTCTCACAATGTGAGAGCTGCTGAGATTCTCTGCACTCAGGTTTCTCTCCGTTCAATCCTCAGCTGTTCGCTCCTGGCTAGCCAAGAGGCGCTTCCAGAGGGTGCGCAAGGCTGTCAGCGTCATCCAGCGTGGCTGGAGGAAATGGAAGGTGAGTATGGGGCACAGGACAGCACTGAAATGGAGCCTGAGGCTTTTTGGTGTGTGAAAAAAAGTCTGAGAACTACAAACCCAGTGCTGCAGAAAACTCTCCAGCTGAAGAGCAGAGGAGATGCCAGCCCTGTACAGCTGCTTCTGGGTCATCCTGCAGAACAAACTCATTCCTTACCTGCATGGAAATTGGGGTGTGCTGTCCTTCCAGACTCCCTCTTTTTTATCCTCTCAGTTTTGCAGTCCTGAGTTGTGTCCAGGACATTTGAGAATATTGTTGTTCTGTGTCTATTGCAGGCAAAAGCGGCCGCGTTGGCAGCAGCAGAGCTGGATGAGGGGGAAGGAAAGTTCCCAGCTCCTGGAGCTACCTTGGCCAAAGCTCCCTGTTCTTTGGACACAACGTGGCCTCTGGAGGCAGTTGTGCAGCTCTGGCCCCTGGGCCTGGCGCTGGCTGCTGCCCCTGTCAGTGTGCTGGGGCTGCGGCGGGCGCTGGCGCTGCTCAGCTGCCTCAGGGGACTGCAGGAGGGCTCCAGGGAGGACCTGGGCTGCGGCATCGCCTCCATCAGAGCCCTCCCACAGGTACTGACCCCTCCCTCCTGCCTGCAGCACCTGCCACAGCTTGGGAACAGGCTGGGACAGCATTTCCCAGCAGCCACAGGCACTGCCTCCCCTCAGAAACTGCAGTTACAAATCACCCTCGGGTCTGGGGGGGAACATTTTTGTGTTTGCATCAGATTCTGTGTGCAGGAGCTGCCACAGCTACTGCAAATGGAGCTGAGCACTCCAACCTCCAGAGTTTGAGCTGATTGCAGTTCAAATCACATTTCTTAGTGACCATTTCTCTTAAATCCATTTGTACTGAACTCCTCTGGAGGAGCTCCTTTGTCCTCATCCACCAGTGGTTCACATACTCAAGATATAAAAGTGAATAACACAATCAGCTGCACATCTGGCTGAAAACTTTCTGGCTGAAAACTCTCCCCCTCTTGTCCTTCCTTGCAGGGCTCTGTCAAGTTCCACTGCAGGAGGTCCCCCCTGCATTTTGCCAACGTCAGCCCCCACACCAAGGCGTTTTCAGTCACAGGATTCAACCAGATCCTGCTGGACAGAGAGGAGCTGCTGCCCACTTAGCTCTGCCCCCTGAGCTCTGCCCCCTGGCCTTGCCCTCCAGGGAGAGCTCTCTGCAAGCTGCTGCTTTCAAATCACTCAGCATCCACTTCTGCTGCTACCTCAGAGCTTCCACAGCGCTGCCTCGCACGTACAACGTGATGGCTAATTCAGCATAACACACGTGATAATAATACACATTAAATTAACTTCAGAGTGTGTGGGGGCAGCTCCTCCCCCCTACACTTTACAGGAAATATCAACACTATGGGAACAAATCAATTCCAACAGATCAGGTGCTTGAAGCAATGAATACTTGAACTGAATGCTGCTGGCACTGCCTGTGTGAGCCAGAGGCTGCCTGTCAGAGAGCAAATAATGCAAATAAATATTCCTGATTCCTGCTGGATTCTCAGAGGTGCAACCGTCCTGACCGACCACGAGTGTCCCCAAGGGAGTGAGGAGCAGCCAGCTGCAGCACTAAGGGCAGATGTCTCAGGGAAAAGCAAGGCTGGGCTCTTGTTTTTATCTACAGGACCAAAATTTGTGAGCTCTCACAGCTGCCAGGTGTCTGCAGAGCTCCCCAAACAGCACCACCCTGCCCAGGGGTGCTCTGTACCCTCCCTTTGTTGCTCATGGATCTTGAAACTGTTCAGCTGCTCTGTGTATGTCATCTAAAATAAACTGCTCAATGCCTTGTCAAGGTGTCTGACCCTTCCCAACAACCTTCAGTGAACAGAAACATTTCAGAGTACTTGTAGATTAAAATAAATGCAAATATATTTAATATGGTCACTGTGAAGCAACATTTCCCGTGGCTGCCAGTATTTCTGTGCCTACAGAAAGAATTCCAGAGTGTGTCAAGTTCAACCCCCAGGATCTAAAAACGTGTCCCAACACACCCCTGCCCGTTTGTCAGCTCCAAACTGAAATCATTGCACTGACACCCACGGGCAAAGTGGCCAGGACACACAGTGCAGCAGCTCTGGCTCCTGGAGGATAAAAAAACCCCATTCCCAGAGCAGCTCAGTCAGGGAGAACGTTCTCCTTCTCCTCGGGGGGCTCCACAATGCTCAGGCAGCAGTCGGCAAACTCCACGAACAGGGGCTCCTGCATGAGCTTCCTCAGGAGGGAGCTTTTGTCCCGAGCCTGGTTGAGGGTGAGCAGCAGCTGCCGCAGGTGGGGGTTCCGCAGCAAATCCCTCAGCTCCGCTGATTCTCCTGTACCGGGGGCAAGCCCAGAGCTGCAGACGGGCCTGAGGCCAGCCCTGCCCTGCAAACCAACCTCCAGAGGGACAGAGGGAACTCGGAACGCTCCGGGGCCCGGGATAAGCTGCAGCTCCCTGCAGGATTCGTTCCTGCTCGCTCCCCGCAATTACCCAGGAGCTGCAGTTTCTGCAGCGGGACGCGGTCCTGCTCGTCCTCCTCGCCCAGGATGTCCTCCAGGGCCCAGGGGCTTTGTGCGGGGCCCGGGGGGGGCTCCTGCCCGGCCGCCTCCCGCTCCTGCCGGGGCTCGGCTGCGCAGCGCTCTGCGGACACACCCGGTTAGCCCCGGTTAGTCCCGGTTAGCCCCGCCGCCCCCGGCCCCCCCGGGCCCGCACTCACCGCGGTGGGTCCGGCAGCACGGCACGGAGCAGCTGCGGAGAGAACGGCGTGAGACGGGCCGAGCACGGCGGGGCCGGCCCCGCTCACACGGCCCCGGTCAGCCCCGCAGCCTCAGCCCCGCGGACAGCGGTACCGGGCCGTTCCCCGCTCCCTCCCCGCCCAGCCCCTCGCTCACTAAGCGCTGCCGCAGCGCGGACAGCGGTACCGGGCCGCGTCCCCCGCCCCGCACTCCGCGCACGGCCCCGGGACCCGCATGGCCGCGCTAGCCGCTTCCGCTTCCGCTCTGCCGGCCAGGGCTGCTAATCCACCGCCGAGCGCCGCCGGCCAGGCGCGCTTAATCCACCGCCGAGCGCAGCCCTATGCAGGGCATTTTCCGGCGCTATTTGGAGATATTTCCATAATTAGATAAATATAGAGGGATCTATGGATATAGATACATCGAGAGATAGCTCTGCATATGGGGAAAGCAAGAGGGAGTTGAGAGAGAGATGTATACATCGAGATAGGGATAGGGGTATAGATATGGGGATATATAAAATATATAAATAGATGTAGATATGGAGATATAATAGAGAAATATATATATAGTGAGAGAGATATAGATAGATAGAAAGATGAGGAAACAACAACAAAGCAAAGAAATTGGAAAGAAGTCCCTGAAAACTCCAAGTGGGTGGGATGAATGTGAGAACATCATCACTGTGTGGATTTTTATGGAATTTTATTGCTGTGCGTTGATGAAATAACGGAGCAGCAGCTGAGCAGTGCAGAACCAGAAACATGAGCTGATGTCACAAAAACTATCCAATCCAGGCTTCTAAAGAAGTTTAAACATTGAGATTCTTCTAGGAAATATCCCAGTGTAACTAAAAATAAGCATCCATCTCCACTGGGATCTGACAGAATAATATCTACTAAATAAATACCCAGAAACCAACTCTTTTTGCTTTTGAGAGGGAGGAGTTCAGATCTTTTTCTTTTACAAAACACCTGGTCTTGACATTTTTATTTCTTTTTTTACAGGCAACTTGACTGCAGCTCTGATCCTGAGGAGCCCAGCCAAGGTTTTCACCTGGAACAGTACAAATGAGGGCGGCGAGCGCGGCCGCGGCACAAAGTAAACACCGATAATGGAGTTATTTTTAACTGCAGGGAGAGCAGCTCCCGTTCCCGTTGAACAGGCAGACAGAGCTTCCCGAGGGACAGGGACAGCGGGGACCCTGCTGGGAGGAGCCACCAGGCTCCATCCTCCATCCCCGGGCTGGTTCTGCAGCCAGGCAGGGAACCATGGGGCTGCCAAGGCTGGGAAAGGCCTCTGAGGTCACCAACCCACCACATCCACCACCAAACTCCCTCAAGGGCCACGTCCACTCGGGTTTTTGAGCCCACCGTGACCCGCCGTGCGCGTTTGGATCCCTGTTCCTGGTTAGATGTTCTCGATGGTGCAGGCCCGTACGCGGTTGGCCGAGAGGCAGCGCAGCGCCTTCAGCTTGGCCCCCAGCGCCCTGAACTTGAGGGTGTAGAGGATGGGGTTGCCCAGGCAGGTGATGGTGATCAGCATGGCCGTGCAGTTCCTGAAGATGTACACCCCGGGGTAGAGGTCGGTGTGGCAGCGCTGGTTGGCGGCGTCGAAGATGACGCCGGCGAAGAACGGCGCGTAGGACACCAGCGCCAGCAGCCAGATGGAGATGCTGGTCCTGGCCACCTGCGTCTCTGCCGACTTGTAGGTGCCCGTGGCTTGGCCGCACGCCTGCATCCTCAGCTTCCTCTTCCTCAGGATGATGATGATCCTCAGGTAGGTGAACAGGGGCACGAGGAAGGCCAGCGCCACGTTGGGCATGGCGATGAAGACGAGGTAGTTGACGCAGAAGGGGCTGTAGAGCACCGAGATGTTCCTGTCTGCGTGCAGGCAGTTCCAGCCCATCAGTGGCAGGCAGCCCAGGAAGAAAGCCAGGACCCAGCTGATGAAGACCACGGCGATGGAGTGGTTCCTGGCCACCCTGAACCTCGTCCTCATGCTCTCGGCCACGGCCAGGTAGCGCTCGATGCCGATGCTCACCAGGTTGTAGATGGTGGATAAGATGGACGTGGTGTAGAGGGCGTAGGGAGCCAGCATGTCCTGGGAGCCGAAGATGGTGATGTCGGGGTTGGTGATGAAGAACATGGAGATCCAGAAGCCGGAGAAGCTGGTGAAGAGGTCAGAGACAGCCAGGTTGCAGAAGAGGATGGAGATGGGCTTGTGCAGGTCCCTGGTGGCCAGGCGGGTGAAGATGACGGTGCAGTTGAAGATGATGGAGGCCACGTTGATGGTCAGCTGGGGGATGCCCAGGGCCAGCACCAGGTAATGACTCCAGATCTTGGTGTAGTTGGCAGAGCAGTTTGGGAACCCATTCATGGTGGGAAACGCTCCAGGCAGCCCCTGACGAGGCCGGCTTTGCTCATCCCATACTCCCCAGGAGCTCCCACCTGGACCCCGGGCGCAGAACCACTCCTGACACACAGCTCCTGCTGCCACATCATCATCGTGACGGGGATTAAACTTTAACCAGGTGTGTTTTTAAATATTTGGGTTGCCAGCTCGGGGCTGTGCCGATCACCCGGAGTTGCTAGGATAGCCCAAACTGCAGAACACATTTCCCACACGGATGAGCTGCTGGAAGCAACCTTTGACAAGACAAAAGCCTGGCCAGGGCTTGGGGAGATGAGGGATCACAGCTGCAGTTTGAGGTTCTCCATTCTAAAATGGAGTGAATTCGGTTTTAACTCAGGAATTTATTTGATCACAAAGGATTAAAGAGTCAGGAAAGGGAGAGCAGAGTTTTGTGGGTTTGGAGTGAGGAGCGTGTGGCTGAGGGAGCTGAAATAAAACATCAGTGCTGTGTCACCAGCCTGGACCCCAGCAGCCCAGAAAATCCCTTTTCCCACTTAATCCTTTCATGGAAACATAGCTAAAACCCAACCAGCATCACTCCCCATGCCTTTGCTACAGGATGTTTTGTGTTTGTTTCATCTGGCTTGTTCATTAATAAACCAGTACCAACACCACTGTAGCTTTTCTTTCTCCATCTTTTTAAATGCAAATTATTTTTGAGGACTTAGACTGAAAATACCTGAGACTTGAGGGGAAAAAAAAAAGCTCTGGGGATGCACATTCCATGCTCTCAGCAGAGGGCACTGCTGGAACAAAATACAGGGTACAGTGGGAGCAGAGAGATTTGAAATAGCTGAGCAGTCCAGGTGAGCAGGACAATTATCCAGGTAAAGCCACGTTATTTATTCTGATTCAATTCCTAGTTTATTGTTACTCTGATGAAGGATTCATCTTCACTGGGCACAATTTTCTACCACAACCTTGCCAAGCAGCTCAGCTGAATTTATGGGCTCCCTCATTCAGCACTGATCATTACAGCAGCAATTCCAGGCCCGGAGATGGGAATCTGGGAACTCTGATAGCTCTGCCAAATTTAAAATTTAAGAAATGTAGGCTATAATTTTGAGTTTAAAAAGGGGAATTCGAGGGCTTTTTTTCTATCAAAGTGTATGGAAGTATATTCAGTTTATTGTGCAGTCAGCACCCACAATTTTTGTGTAATAGGAATACTTTATAATTAATTAATACACTTTTTAAGCATGATTATTATACTTCATACAAGTCTAAGTAAGCAATAAATATTTCAGATGGTCACAAGGGAGTGATTACATAGAAATAAGGGCTGGGAATTGATCAATCAAGCCTGGGGGTGTATTAACACCCTATGAAATACTCCTCTCCCAGTGTCCCAGATAAACCACCCTTTGTAATCCCAGCTGGGGCAGCCCTGGCAGCCACACCTCTGGTGTGAGGTTGCTGTTGAACAAGGGCCCCACTATTTCTGTCACCTCTGTGCCAGCCCAGCAAATCCTTTCACTCCCAGCAGCAGTGGAGCACAGGACACCAGTGATGAACAGTTCATCCACTGAGCAAAACGGCTTTGAAAATACTCTGGTGGCTAAAAATATCTTATCTGTGAATTTGGGCTCCAAAGGGCTCCAGATGCTCCTGAAAATGCTGCTTGAAGTTGCTCTAATTTGAAAATTTGGTGCTCGAGCACAGAACGCTAAACGGTGTGAGATCAGAATGTAATTAAAGTAATATCAAGTGGTATAAATAGCACTCCACAAAAGATTTGTAATCTGATTTGCCTAATAGAATTGCATACAAATTACCATCATGTTGCTGGATTAAGGGAGACAACAGTGTGGAAGCTGCTTTTTTAGTGGGCTTTAATGTACAGAAAGCCCCAGATTTGTATATTCCAACCCTCTGTGATGCAGCTGGAGCTCCCAAAACCAGATGAAAAACACTTTCAATTTAAAGCCCAACCTCTTCATGGAACAACCTCAACTCAAGGGCATTTTCCTACTCCCATATTCCAGGAACTGTGCAGCATTCCCTGTACTTACCTCACTGGACACTTGTGAGGAAATTGTTATCTGCATCCTATAAATGGGGAAAGAACAATCCCATTGTTTGTTTAAGGTGACACAGGATTCTGGGGAACTCAATCTAATCTCCAGGATCTCAATCTAATCTCCAGGATCTCAGACTGTACCTTGCTGTGGGCAGCCTTTGATTTATATTTGGTGAGATTTCACCTTCTGCAACATTTATTTTTTTAGTTCTGTGATTGTATTTACATTTCTTTATCTGGATGCCCAGTTGGTTTTGATGTATGTGTAAGAAATGGCCTCATTTTGTGGAATTATCTGTTGGTTGTGCCTGTGGGGAAGACAATAACCACTGACCACGCTGAAGAGACTGAGAAAGAGGCGCAAGAGGCTTCAGGCTGAATTTTTAGTGATGATTCAAGTGTGGAAAATCCAGGTGAAAATCAGCCCACAGCCTCGGAATCGCCCCCAGCCGCAGCTGTCAGCCTCCAGTGGGACCCACAAGGAGAGGCCCCAGCTGGGACACACCAAAATTGATCCCAAAACAGGGAATTCACCCAGGATCTGAGCCCCAGCCCTGCAGAGTAACCCTTGGGCAGCTCCTCACCCTGGGGTGAGGCACAGCAGCCCCGTGTCCTCTGTGCTGACAGGGAAACTGGAACTGTGCCTGAAACTCCAGAGGAAAACTGCATCCTTGTGATGGAAAGAGGAATCCCACAGCACAGGGGGGAGAAGAGATGCAGCACGAGCCACGGGAGATTTGGTGTCTCTTGTGAAGTCAGGTGCAGACAGGAAAACCCCAGGAGGATGAGGGATTTATTTCACTGCCCCATTTTCTGTCCCCTGCTCAGTTCCTGAGCCCAGCCCTTGGGAAATGGGATGGTTCTTCTTCCCCCCGGTGTCCCTGTGCTCAGCTTTGTGCTGTCACTGCTGCAGACACCAAACCTGCACCAAAAAATGTCAAATGGTGTGAGCAGCTCCACAGAATCATTCCATGGATCCAAGTCTCACTGCCATGACCGGAGTATCCCTGTGCCCAGCCTCTCCACGGGCATCACGAGGCCTGAGAGGAGGAAACAGCCAGGAAAGGGAGTAATCCAAATAAGGAGCCTATTTATCCAATTTATGTTTCAATTTATGCAGATTAAAGCCTTCCTTTCTGGAGAGGAAGACACAAATGGGGTTTATGATCTCCTTCCAAGATTTTTCAGAGCTGTTTTGGAAACGCAGAGCTCTGCTCCTCCCCCCTCCGGCCGCTCTCCTGGAGGGGTTTTTGCCTCCCAGGTTTGGAGTGATCCCTTTGGAGAACCTGTGTTGTCTGAAAGGGAACAAACACCTGGAACCAGGTGTTCCAAAAGCCTCTCCACTGATCAGCTGGGTGTGAGGAAGGCAGAACACATCTCATCCCTGCTCCCAGCTGAATTTCAATCCCATTCCACGGGATCACCTTGTGCTGGGACAGCATTCCCAGTGCGGCAGAGTCAGGGAGAATCAGAGCCAGCCCACGTTTGCACATGGAAGATGAAGCTTTAATGTTCCTGCTTCAGTAAGAGCCCTGAAATTCCAGATTTCCTGTTCAGAGGTGTGGGAACTCTAAGGAATAAAATGACACCATGCAGCTGAATGAGGAGCACTCGGTGTTTTCTCACTCTGCAGGGTGGGATTCCCAATCACCCACTCGCTCATCCTGAAACCCATCTGTGTTTGAAATCCCTTGGAAGTGCTTCCCAATCCCAGGGACAGTCCCTGCTGGATCAGCTCATCTCTGACCAGGCTTTGGACTCGAGCCAGTCTCACCCTCTCAGCCTTTGTTGCTGTGGCTCTCATGGCCACAAAATAAACACAGTTTATACTGGATTTGATATTCCCACTTGTCCTTCCCTGTGCTGCAGCTGCCAGGAAAAACCAGCCTGGAATTCAGAGATCTGCTTGACTTTGTGTCATCTCCTCTGGCCAAGATCCTCTCAAGTCTTCAGGTTCAATCTCCAAAAGTCTTTATGTAAAATGCACCCAGTTCTTGATGGCATCATTTGCATCTCAGGGCAGTTTTGGTTTTGAAAAGTGCAAATCCTGAAGTGCAACAATGTCTTTGGGAACTGATATCCAAGCATTTGTCAGGGGAGTTTCCTTAGGAAAAAAAAATAAAAATAAGGGGATCAAATAATGCCAGCCCTGTTTAATTAGATGACAGACTTTAGAAGGAAAGGGAATGTCTTTGCCTGGGTGTGCCTTCACTTTTGAGCTCAAATAAAGGCTTAATTAACGTCACTGCAGTGCAGTTTATTACCACTTTGATAATGACAGGCTGGAAGGTTTCAAAACAAAAAGGAGGAAAAAAAAAGGAAAACAAAAATAAATTAAAATCCTGATTTTTAAGACCAAAAAATTTCTAACCCTCAGCTTTTCAGTCTTGGACAGAGGACAGGTAAAAAAAATTCCAGGGGTGTTGGTTCAGCTGCCCAGAAAGGAGCATCCCAAGGAAGGAGCAGAGCCAGGAGGGAATTGTCTCTTGGATGCCCTTGGAGGCTGCAGCTGCCTCTACGTGCTCAGCATTCACCTCTGCTGGGAAGGGAGAAAATGCCACCAATCCCCCATTGTTCTCCCCTGCAGGAATGATTTACCTCATCCCCATGTGCGAGGCAAATCCCGTGCAGGGTGGGAAGCTCTCCTGGATTGTGGGGATGTTATTTCCAGCCCCAGGAGCTGCTCTGGCTCAGCTGTTCGGGTGTCCCTGCAGCTCCTGAGCCTCACTGCCAGAGCAGCAGGGCAAGGAGCCACTCCTGGGCTCCTTTCTCTTAAATTCAGCCTCTGCTGGATGACTCTGCATGCTCAGCTCAGCTGCAATAACATCACTGCCCATCTCTCATGGGCATCCTGCTCTGCTTCCACCCAGCTTTGGGGCTGTGACCCCCACGGGCATTAGGAGAAGTTTTCTTCATTTGTTTTCCTCAGCTGGATCCAAATCCACCCCCAAAAACCCCAAAGATGACCCCGTGTCTGTAATAAAGCTGTGTCGCTTTTCTCTGTTGAATGTAAAGTCTGATTTACAGCCCTGGATTGTGTTTAATTCCAATAATGAAATTTTAAAAATTTAGATAGGAAAACAAAGGGGTCTAAAACAAAAAATCTCAGTGTGTATGTATATATATATCTATCTCATACTACAGTAGCAGAAGCAGAAAGTTGAGGAAAAGGATTATTAAAAAAAAATGTATCATTGCTTAATTACGTACGTAAGGTGTTGTATGTCACCTAATAAACATTTCCTGTTGCTGCACACGGAATTCCCATTTTCCAGTCCCACAAATCAACTCCAATCCTGTTTGGAGAACTGTGGGGTAGGAGTGAGGGGGAGTTGGGGTTTTATTTGTCTCCCTGTTTTGTTTTTTTTTTAAGGAAACATTAACTTGAACACACGTATGAATTGAATGTCATGAGGCTGCCAGGAGAAAAACTCCCAGAAAATGAAAATTTTACTCCTGGGCTGCTAAACCTGTGCAGGTGGCAAAGCCTCAGCTGTTCTCTAAAAGCTCCTTGCCCTGTGCCAGAAAGCCTCACTCCTTTTGCCATTCACTTTGGAGAATGAATAAATTTAGGCAAATCAGGAGCAGGACAAATCTGGAGAAATTACAAAGGGGAGGAGTTCACCTTCCTGCTATGGCTTTCAGGTCTGTCCTGGACTACTTACTCCAGTATAAAACTGAGAGCAGAAATATGATCACATCCCGAGGAGTCTAATCAATTCTGGTTTCAACACTGAGCCTATTTAAAATAGAGAATGGAATTGCTGCTCCTTGCTCTGTTCTGCCTGCACATTCTCAAGACAGAGGCAGTAGGTAAGTCCTTCCCTGCTTTTTCTAGCCCCACGTTAAGGTTACTCTTATTTCTGATTTGTTTCTATCAGGACATGCAGTGCAGGCTCTCTGATTCTTCTCTATGGGAAATGAAGGAGGATTTATTTATTTCTCTGCCTTTTGCTATTTGTGTTAAAATATCAAGGATAGGTTTTTCTTGTGAATGAATGAATGCTTTGGGGGTTTCTTTTCACCTTTAGAGATTCTATCTGCCTTGCTCCTCCAAGAAAAATCAATGAGCTTTGACTTGATCTCTATATTTTATTATGTACCTGCATTTAAAATACCAAAACTTTAATTTCTTTATCTTTAAAACACCTTTAAACTTGAAAGAAATTGCTTGTTTGAAATTTCTACTCCCTTTGCTTTGCTGTGTATGATCCAAGATGAAATTCTGCTGAGGGAGAAAGAACAATATGTCTTTGCTGCATCAGCCCAGCAGCCCCATCTATTTTTGCTCCCTGGGCACCATAAGTACACTGTGCACTTAGGATGGCTCAATTAAATAGCCATCTATAATTAGTATTGAAAAATGCAGCAGGTATTTTTCCCCCTGCTTCTATTCAATCAGCAACGCTGCAACACTGAATAAATCCCTTTTCCTATGCAAATAGCAGCACAGAGCCTCGAAATTAAACACTGCAGCTCTTAAAAGTGGCCAGGGGTCCATTGTTTGCACTAAAATAGAGCAGAGTGCAGTGAGGAAAAAAGGGACCCTGCATTATCAGGGGGAAGTGCTGCCCTGAGATCTGCTGAAGGGAGATGGTGTTAAAGCAGATCAAGGTTCAGAGCTGCTCACAAATTCCTGAAGGGTTTCCCTGGCTTTATTTCCCTGTTTTTAATGAATTCCCTGTCCCTCTGTGGCTTGGCTTTTCCAGATTCTTTCCTGGCAGTTGCAATCCCTTCCCTGTGGTGCAGCCCCTGGTTCAGAGCTGCCCACACCTGGGGCAGGTGAACAGGAACACAAAAAACTTCTGCTTTTCCCCGGGATGCCACTCCTGTTTGCTCGCTGCTGACTCCTGCCTATCCACACTTGGTTAACTTTACTGCCCCATTAGGGGGTTTATTAGGGAAACCTGAAAGGCTATCTAGAAAACCTTCGTGGCTTTACTAGATTGGTGTTAACGTTTATGGTTCACCTCTTTATCAGAAGGAACTAACACAGGGAATGCATATATGATCGTTTGTAGGCAGTTTTTGCCACCCCTGGTTATTGCCACATTTTCCCTTGAGTGTGGACCGAATTACACAGTCATTAATACACCAGAGACTTGCTCTCTACACCTGCTTCTCCAAACATTTCCTCAGGCAGAAGCTCCACGTGATACATTTGATTAAGTTAAAGGTTACGCATTTCAAAAAACTCCACTTTTGAGAATCAGCTGAAATTCCTTCTGGTTGCATTCCTTCTTGTTACCTTTTCTTTTTTTAAAGAACAAACATTTCCTTCCTCTCTTGCCACTTCTGAGAGCCTGCCTGGGTGATCTGCCCTGATCAGCTCATTGAGCCCCTCCCCACCTGGGCACTCCCTAACTCCCCCCGCTGAAACAGTCGAAGGGCTGATTGCTAATCTTTGAAACTGCTGCCAGCCTTGTCCGAATAGCAGAGCACCTGTGCTCTAAAATTAATACTAACAGTCCTTGCAGGGCTTGCTGAGAAAGGAAGGGTCATTATCCCTGTAGTAGGAGAGGGAAACTGAGGCACGCAGGCGCAGTCACCTGCCCAGGGATCAAACCATCCCCCCCAAACCTCTGTCCAGCCCCTCATCCTCTGGCTCACCCAGATCTCAGTATATTCCATTTACAGCTGCACTCATGCACCTCAGCTTTCTTGTCTGGGTCCTTTGAGAGCTCTGGTGCTGTTTTGGGGAAAAAGAGAGACTAAGTGTCTGCAATTTCCAGCAGGAACACTCCAAACCACTCAGAGAGCAGGGACATCCATCCATCCATCCATCATCCATCCATCCATCCATCATCCATCCATCCATCCATCCATCCATCATCCATCCATCCATCATCCATCCATCCCTCCATCCATCCATCCATCATCCATCATCCATCCATCATCCATCCATCCATCCACCCATCCACCCATCCATCCATCCATCCATCATCCATCCATCCATCATCCATCCATCCATCCCTCCATCCATCCATCTATCATCCATCAACCATCCACCATCCCTCT